AGATCAATTTTATCGATGAAAGTTATTTCAGTTTTGATCTCTTATACGCATGATTTCTTATAGCCTCGTATTTCTTATTCGAATCTTTGTTTTAGTTAGGCCGACTAGATGAATTTTTCTTGCCATGGGAAGAGGTGCTTTTGTGATGGGTTCGATCTTGCGGTGCTTAATCCCAGTGACAGAAGGGGACATGACACGTATATATCGTTGCTATTAAGGATGACAAGATGGGGTCTATTACTACATGAATAGATCTTGTCTACATCATATCATCGTTCTTATTGCATTACTCCGTTTATCTATGAACTTAACACACTAGATGCAAGCTGGATAGCGGTCGATGTGTGGAGTAATAGTAGTAGATGCAGGCAGGAGTCGGTCTACTAATCTTGGACATGATGCCTATATAATGATCATTGCTTGGATATCGTCATAATTTTTTGAAGTCCTATCAATTGCCCAACAGTAATTTGTTTACCCGCCGTTTCTCATTTTTCTCGAGAGAAGCCACTAGTGAAATCTACGGCCCCGGGTCTCTTCTTTATCATATTTGCCTTTGAGATCTATTTTTATTTTCTTTTTATTTTCAGATGTATTAATCCAACAACCCAAAAATACCTTGTTGCATTTTTTGTTATTTATTTTATTTCGCGTTTCCACAAGATCTATTTATCCAATCTACTAGATTGACGACCCCTCTTACATGTCGGGTTGCAAGTATTTGTTTTTTGTGTGCAGGTACCGTTTACATAGTGTTGCGTGGTTCTCCTACTGGTTTGATAACCTTGATCTCATCACTGAGAGAAATACCTGCCGTAGCTGTGCTGCATCATCCCTTTCTCTTTGGGGAAATACCGACGTAGTTCAAGCCGCATCAATAACGTGTAAAGTACCAGTCCGATAAACAGTAATGATCGATGATCCATTGATAATGATATTGTACATATTTATACCTCTTGAAGAGGTGCATCGCAAAGTGCGATGGTTACAAAGAGCAGGAGTAGAGGGATGCGTCCGTTAGAGTAGGATCGCGACTGCTCGGAAAGAAAAGCCCATGTCGGTTCCATATACAGAGATTTCCTTAATTTAACTACTTAATTAAATCCTAACAAAATTGATTAGGACACTAATCTATCCACATGCATATATACCTGAAAAAAACCGTGTGCATATATATCAAGTCGACCGAAAGTCGGAGTAGATCGATCTATTCGACGCGGCCATGGAAAGTGAGACGATGGCACCGTCGGCAGGCAAGAGGAGGTGGAGGAGGCCTATGCCGAAGCCGAGGCGGCACATCCCGCACCAGGTCTTGACAGAGATGCTACTCCGCCTTCCCGTCAGGTCGCTTCTACGATTCAGGCGCGTCTCTAAGGCATGGTACCGCACAATCTTCGTCGACCAATCCTTCCGTCGCAACCTTCGCCTCCACCGGCAACAACAATCATGCCCTCGGGACTGTCACGTTTGTGAGGCAAGTGCTGCGTCGCAGTTGTGCATTAGGTATTTAACCATTTGACCACCTATTGATACATATATTTGGGCCATATCTGGGTGAGTATGCTTTTCCTACCCCACATCACGTGGTTTTCAGAGATTCCCCTATCCTCATGGCCCGCGCGATCTATGTCTTTGACCGGACTCGTGAAGGGTTTGACTGGGGTAAATTCCACTTTGTTTGTATTAAGGCAGGTCACAGTGACATGCTGGACCTTATTTGGGCACATGCCTGCACAAGATTACCTCCCAGCGGTGCTAAGTGTGACATGAGCACTGTAGGTGCAGAACCTTCTCCCGGGACTGTCCCGTTCTTGAGGCAAGTGTTGTATCAAAGTTTTGCATTGGGTATTTAACCATCACACCAACATATCATACATATATTTGGGTCATATGCATGTGGATGTGCTCTTCCGACCCTCTCTCGCGCGGTATTCAGAGATTCCCTGTTCTATAGGGCCCTCGTGATCTACGTCTTTGACCGGAGTTGGGAGGGGTTTGACCAGGGTAAATTCCTCTTGGTTTTTGTTAAGGCTGGTCATGGTGACATGCCGAACCATGTTTCAGCCCATGGATGCACAAGATTCCCTTCTGGCGGTGCTAAGTGCGGCACGAGCACTATAGGTGCAGAACCTTCCCACGGGACTGTCGCATTTGTGAGGTAAATGCAGCATCGAAGTTGTACTTTGGGAATTTAACCATCGCAACACCCTTTCATACATATATTTAGGCCATATACGGGTGGGTGTGCTCTTCCTTCCTTCCCTTGCGTGGTTTTCGGAGATACCACGTTCCACAAGGCCTGCATGATCTACGTCTTTGACCGGACATGAGAGCGGTTTGACCGGGGTGAATTCCTCTGGGTTTGTGTTAAGGCAATTCATTGTGAGATGTCGAACCTTGTTCGAGCAGCTGCCTGCACAAAATTCCCTCCTGGCAGCGCTAAGCGCGGTACGAGCATTGTAGGTGTAGAACCTTCCCGCGGGGCTATTGCGTTTGTGAGGCAATAGCCGCATTGGAGCTGTCTATTGGTTACTTAACCATTGCACCAGTGGTTCATACATATATTTGGGCGAGATGCGGGTCGACGTGCTCTTCTTACCCGCCCTCAGGCGGTTTTTAGTGATTCCTGATCGAGAGGTCCCATGCAATCTATGTTTTTGATCGGACTCAAGAGGGGTTTGACTGGGATGAATTCCTCTCGGTTTGTGTTAAGGTGAGGACCAACTTGCACAATATTCCCTCCCAGCGGCGCTAAGTGCGGCACCAGCTATAGGTGCAGTACATTCCCTAGGGACTGTCGCGTTGGTGAGGCAAGTTCCGCATCGAAGTTGTGCATTGGGTATTTAACCATCACGCCAACCTTTCATACATATATTTGGGCCATATGCGGGTGGGTGTGCTCTTCCTACCCTCCCTCGCGGTGTTCTCGGTGATTCCCCAATTCATAGGGCCCGCGCTATCTACATCTTTGATCGGACTCAAAAGGGGTTTGACTGGTGCCAGACCATATTTGAGGATCTGCATGCACAAGATTCCCTCCCGACGGTGTTAAGTGATGCACCGACACTTTAGGTGCAGAAACTTTCCTCGGGACTGTCGCGTTTGTGAGACAAGTGCCGCATCGAAGTTTTGTATTGGGTACATAACAACCGCACACCCCTTTCATACATATATTTGGGCCATGTGCGGGTGGGTGTGCTGTTCCTACCCTCCCTTGTGCTGCTTTCAGAGATTCCTCGATGCACAGGGGACCTTGACCGGGGTGAATTTCCCTTGGTTTGTGTTAAGGTAGGTCATGGTGACATGCCATACCTGTTTGAGAACCTGCCTGCACACTATTCCCTTCCGGCCATGCTAAGTGCGGCACTAGCTCTATAGGTGCAGATCCATCCCTCGGGAATGTCGCGTTTGTGAGGGTATTGCTGCATCGAAGTTGTGCGTTGCATATTTAACCATTGCACCAGCCTTTCTTAAATATATTTGAGCCGTATGAGGGTGGGTGTGCTCTCCCTACATTCCCTCATGCGGTTTCCGGAGATTCGCTCATCCGCAGGGCCCGCGCGATATACGTCTTTGACCGGACTCGGGAGGGGTTTGATCGGGGTGAATTCCTCTTTGTTTGTGTTAAGGCTGGTCATGGTGACATGCCGAACCCTGTTTGAGCACATGACTGCATAAGAAACCCTCCCGGCGGTCCTAATGTGCTACACCACCACTGTAGGTGTAAAACCATTCCGCGGAAGTGTCCCACTTGTGAGGCAAATGCGTTTTCGGACCTATACCTTTTCTAGATTTTCTGAATATGTCAAACCCTAAATCCTAAACCTTTCTGCGATACTGTCGTGATTGTGAGGCAAGTGCATTTTCTGCCGAAATGCTAGGAGATAGATATTTTTGGACATACCCACCAACAAAGGGATTCATCAAATAACATGAATAAGGGTCGCAACAATTTATCCTTGTGCATGTGATCCTAATTTGGGTACACTAGGGGGCTAAGAAGAATACAAGGCAAACAAATATTAAAGTGGCGGTAAATTGCAGGCATCGAAATACTTATGGAAACTAGTCGGAAGAAAATGGGTGGGAAAAAATAGTATTGAAGGAGTAGACATAAATGCAATGGAAATCATTTTATAGCCATTTTTGCATAAATGTTATGGGTTGCAAAAAATCTGCACAAAAGTAGGCCGAGTTCTAGCTTTCACATGACACACAGCTTACATGGCATATAAACCAAGTGCTCTCGAGGGCACATGGCTTATATGCCTTGTAAGCCGAGAGCTTTGACAAGGCACACAACTTATAGGCTGATGCGTGACGGCACCATCAACCACCTTCGTTATAGACACGTGGCGGATATATTTTCCGAGGACGAGCTATAAGCCGGGTGCTTTCTTCAATAGATACGGTGTGCTCCTTGTAAGCCGAGAGCTTTTGGGGACCACTCGGCTTACAGACTACCATAAGCCGAGTCCTTTGTCGTTGTCGGGTGTTATTTTCCGTAGGCTCGGCTTAGAAGAGCTTAAGCCGGGTAGCCGAAAAAAAGATCTCTTCTTAGTCTTTCACATACAAAAAGTGATTTCATGTAGTGATTGCTCTAAGAAAATAATTTGCTTTAACTAAAAAAAAACTATTCACTAATATGTACTCATGAAAATTTTAAAATGAGAATTTGCGTTTCCTGAGTTGTTTTTGGAATAGTTACTGAACTAATTGTATTGAAATATTCACTTGAATAATTATTTCGATTTTTTTTTATTTTTTTGGATTATTTCTGACTTTGTCAGAAATATTTAAATAGTATTATGAACTATTTATGGTATATCAGTACCGAAAATCATCATACATCTATCATCGATATACATTACACAATTCGCTGCCTGCCTTAACATGTGGCGGTGGCTAGTGGCCAATATGCAGAGAAATTTCTTTATTTTTCTCCGTACCACTAGGGTTCCTATATATACCCCGTGATGCATCTCTAGTCCCTGAAGACTTCAAGGGATTGGACCGCTGAGAAAGTTGTTATTCAGGTAGACATGCCGGAGCATTTTGCAGTCGCCGAGCGACACGGGGATGGGTCCAAAGAAGACATTCTCCATGAGCACGAGCTTCTCCAAGTTCCCGCTTGTGCAGATGTCTGGTGGGAGATGACCGGTGAGGTGGTTGTAGGACACGTCCAGCGTCTTCAGACTGTAATTGCGAAGCCCGGCTGGGAGATGACCGGAGAGATTGTTGTTGCCCACGTTCAGCTTCTTGAGACCGCCGTTCTTGCCAAGTCCAGCTGGGAGATGACCGGAGAAATTGTTGTCCCAGAGCTGCAGCACCTCAAGGTTCAGCAGGTCGGCGACGAACTCCGGTATTACGCCATGGAGGTAGTTCCCAAAAAGGTTAAGAAGCTTCAGGTTTGTAAGCTTGGCCAGACTCGCTGGTATTTTGCCGGCGAGCTCGTTCATAGAGAGGTCCAGCAATGCAAGATTCTTCAGCTCACCCAGTGCCGGCGGTATATCCCCAGACAGCCAGTTCAGAAACATATAGAGCGTGTTGAGCAGCTTAAGCTGGCCGAGCTCTGGCGGTATGGGGCCTGTGAGGCAGCAGCTGCTCATGTCGAGCAGCACGAGCGCCTCCAGGTCCCCGAACTCTGCCGGGATGCCGCCGTCGAACTGGTTGTAGTAGCCCATGTACATCTCCCGCAGCCGCTTGAGCCTCCCTAGAGACGCCGGCACGAGGCCGGAGAGGCAGTTGGCGGCGAGGTTGATGTACTCGAGTTTGTCCAAGTCGCCGTAATCGTCGGGAATCACGCCAGAGAAGTAGTTGCCACCGAGGTGCAGGTATCGGAGGGTCACCGCGTGCTCAGCGCCGAAGGATGGCAGCGGGCCGGACAAGTTGTTGTTATAGACGTCCAGGAGCTCGAGGGACGGGAAGTAGCGGTGGCCAGGGCCGGAGGGTAACGCGCCGGTGAGGTTGTTGTTGGAGAGGTTGAGGTGGCGCAGAAACGGGAGAGCGTGGAGGGAAGCCGGGAAGTGGCCCAGGAGGCCGCACGCCGCGATGGTGAGGTTGGCGAGCGCGTCGAACAGCTCCAGCTCCAGGGGCAGCGTCCCGCCGTGCAGCGACAGGGCCGTGATGTTGATGGCGACGACTCGCGCGCCGGCGTCGCAGGTCACGCCAGAAAAGGAGCAGTGTGCAGGCGAGGGCGCGGCCGGATCCCAGTCTCCGAGCGCGGTGGCGTTGCTGGTGGTGACGAGGGAAGCCTTGAGCTTCCCAAGGGCGTAGACGTCGCACTCTGGGGATGCGGAGGAGGACGTTGTGTGGAGGAGGAGGAGGATGAAGACGACGAGGAAGGGAGGCATTGTTGTGAGAGTCTAGACTGGAGACTGGCCTCGAGAGCTAGCGGAGGAGGCTGGAATGTAAGGGGCAATAAAGGATTCGAACGAATCGAGGATGGCGGGGACGGCGTGCAAGACTAGCAAAAGTGGTCTCTCGCTGGGTGATTTGGGTGGATGTCACGGCCGGCTGCCGTCACCAAACTTCCCATGAACCTCATTGGGTTTCGGGTGATTCGGTGGGTGGCGCGCGTCAAGGGAGTCAAGGAACCTTTTCACATCATTTTAGACTTTCAGAGCCTGGGTAGATTTCTTTGTTCTTTTCTTTTTCTTTTTAAAAAAGGGAAAGACCCTTTGCGTTTGCATTGGAGTGATCGCAATGCACACAGCCATGATTGGCATATACTCCCCCCTTTCCAAATTACTTGTCATA